CAGAAGCTGGCCTCAGGGCTGGCGGTGCAGTGGTGGTGGCGGGAGCCTCTCCTGCCTCCATGGCAACACTAAGAATCTCCAACTGACAGTCCATAGGGAGTGGGCCCAAGCCATCAGTCAGACAACCCCCTGAGGTCTCCTGGACTGCAAGAGAGCGCAGGCTGGGCTGAGGGACCACACCCCCCACCCCCACCCCCGAGTGTATGAATTTCGTGCATCGGGCCTCTAGTTAATTATAATACAAAATGCTTCATAACCTTATGGTGATTTAAAATACAAAGTGCTGCCGAAACCGGTTTGGCTCAGTGGATAGAGCGTTGGCCTGCGGACTGGAGGGTCCCAGGTTCGATTCCGGTCAGGGGCATGTGCCTGGGTTGCGGGCACTTCCCCAGTGGGGGGTGTGCAGGAGGCAGCTGATCGATGTTTCTAACTCTCTATCTCCCTTCCTCTCTGTAAAAAATCAATAAAATATATTTAAAAAAAATAAAATAAAATACAAAGTGCTTCATAAACTTATGAGGAGTAGTTTCTTACAAATCTAGATTCTGTTTACTTTATGTACTTACCTCACATTCTGTGGCAGAAGGGTTACATTATATGTATTTAAACACATTTATCAAATTTTGATCTTAAAAAATAACTAGACTTTTTTTTTTTAAAGAACTGCTTATGGAAACTCTTTCATAAAGCTGCACTGGATAATATTGCTTCTGTTACTTAAGTATTATTATCCAAATAAGGGGAGAAGTATAGGCCACATGGAAAGGGCAATTATAATCCTTCCAAAACTAATAAGGTATCAGAACAATGAACGTACTGGAAGTTATCTGCAAATTATTCAAGCTTTGAAATTTTTACTTCTCAAAGATAACTGCATAAGCTTTTACTTGGGAATCTATTGTCTGCCCACGCTAATTCAAGCTATAAATAACACTGCTAATGATTTAGAGTTATCAAAATGCTTGTTTGAATAGAAAGAAGTACAAAAATGATATCTTTAAAACTGTGTGTATGTGTACATCATACTGCCTGCATAAGGTATATTATAGATGACAGAGAGGAAGAGTACCTTACCATGCTCACATCCTCTTAATCCTTTAAATGCTATGTAACCCTGCTTAACTACTTACAGTTCCACAAGCAGGCCTTAACTTTCACATCATAATCCCACTTTATCTAGTTGGTAAATTCCTACCCATCTCCGATTCATTCTTTGAGAATCAGTTCTACTCTGAACGTTTTTCTCACCATTCTTTCTGGCCCCTGCCCTGGGGTAGAGTTAAACATTCCCCATTCTTTCCACTGAGAATAACTTATACTTATTTCTAAAGCATGTATATATTATTTCATAACAATCTGTGTGTGCCCATGCTTCTGACTTTGAATTCCTAAGTAATACAGTATCTCATTTTTTATATCCTCCTATGGTTAGCATAGAAGTTGGCATATAGTGACCTTTGAGTAAATGTTTACAGAGTAAATGGGATCAGATCTATTCCACTGAATTTCCTATCAATCTATCATTTCCACCTTGAAATTCTTTTCTGAATTCAAAAAGAATTGCCTTTTGCTAATTGTCTGTTACAATTAGATATTCCCACCTAGATTTTCCAGATAGGACAAATTCAAAATTCACTGCTTCCAAACAGAATTCCTCCTCTTGCTTCAAATGAAGTTATAATGTACCCAGCTGCCTAAGTTTAAAAATTTCATTGTAAAAGGACAAAAGGGAACAGGACATTTCCTTACCTGAAATTCTGTAACAATTCCATTATATTTACAGACTGAAGTTCCAACAGCAAACCCACCCCCACTTCCTGCAGTCCCTCTGATTAATTTCATCTCCTACACACTTTCCCCAGGTTTCTCTGCTACGCTATTAATGAGACTGGACAGTTGTGAGAAACAAATAATGAGGCAAAAGTGCTTCAAAATACAAATATTAGTATTATCCTCCTCTATCATTCAAAACACAGCTGAAAGCATCTTCCACTGTGAAGCCTTTCAAATATGCCATCTGTAATGTCTCCTTCTGAACTCATACAGCATTGTCTGTGCCTCTTTTCATAGCACGGAGGCATGTGAGTGAACATATTCCATTAATAAAAACCTTTTTAGGACAGTAAAAAATTAAGCACATTTTTAATACTGACTTCATCTTTGAGAATTTTTCCTCTTATAATGTATTCTTAGGTTGACCAGACTTGTGAAAATTGTGAAAACAAGAAAGCTTTATGATAACTGGCTGAACTTCACCTATATTATAAACTTTCTTTAACAAAGTCTCTCAATTTTTTTATGCAAATGAGAATCATGTAAAAAAATACAGATATATCTTTATTTTTAGAAATGTTTTACAGGTGACTCTGATGCACTTTGAATGTTGGTAAGTATTCTATAGCATACTTTGGGGTTTTTTTTTCCTCTTTTTTGGTATGGAGAGAGGTTAACTTTAACGATGCGATGCATCTGAATGACATTTCATAGCCATTTAAGCCGTTAGCAAAATAAATAGGAAACAAAACAAAACAAACCATTATATCTCTGATATAATGCTGCCAACTTTATATCATGGAAATATGATCACTACATGGTTCTACATCTAATGAGTGATGTGATAAATGCATAAATATGTAAGAAAAATATATATTATTTAATGGATGCCTCCTTATACATTTAAAAGTAACCCACATAAAGATTTAGTTAAAATGTAGGGTAGCTCTGGCCAGTTCGACTCAGTGGATAGATCATTGGCCTGAGCATTGAAGGGTCCTGGGTTTGAATTCGGTCAAGGGCACAGCCTCAGTTGCGGGCTCAATCCCCAGCCCTGGTCGGGGCATGTGCAGGAAGCAGCCAATCAATATGTCTCTCTCACATCAATGTTTCTTTCTCTCTGTCTCTCCCCTTCTCTTCCAATCTCTCTCAAAATCAATGGAAATATATCCTCGGGTGAGGATTACCCCCACTCCCCCAAAAAAGTAGGGTAGCTTTATTTTTTCTATCTTTGTATTCAAAATTGTTAATAATTGAGGGGAAAAGTTAAGGGATTTTGCAGGATCTATTTTCATATCTACATAAGTCATGTAGAATTGTACTCACTTGCAAGTGACCCATCAAAAACTTCAGAACTATTTTTAAAAACAGATAATGGATTTATACTATTACCTAAAATAAACACTTTAAAAATGTGTCCTTAAGTTTCAAAAATACCTTGTATTCATGGTTTCTTTTCACCTAAACACCAGACTTAAAACTATGAACTGTATTTTTAAAAAATATATTTTTATTGAATTTCAGAGAGGAAGAAAGAAGGGAGAGATAAAAACATCAATGATGGGAGAGAATCATTGACCGGATGGTTCCTGCATGCCCCCTATTGGAGATCGAGCCTGCACCCAGGCATGTGCCCTTGACCGATTTGAACCAGGACCCTTCAGTCTGCAGGCCAATGCTCTATCCACTGAGCCTAACCTTCTAGGGCTGAGCTGTATTTCTTTAAAACAGTGAGTAGGTATTGCCTATCCTATATAATAAAAGGCTAATATGCAAATTGACCAAATGGTGGAATGACCAGTTGCTATGACATACACTGACCACCAGGGGGCAGATGCTCAATGCAGGAATGTGGTCAGTGTGCTCCCTCAGGGCAGCCAGAAACTAGGCTCATGGCTGGCTAGCACAGTGGCGGTGGTGGGAGCCTCTCCTGCCTCCGCAGCAGTGCTAAAGACCCCTCAGGGGAAGTCCGACTGCAAGTTTAGGCCCACAGGAGCAGGTCTAAACCGGCAGTTGGACATCCCCCGAATCTCCCGAGTTCCCTGAGGGGTCCCAGATTTCAAGAGGGTGCAGATCAGGCATGAATGTCATGCACCAGGCCTCTAGTAGATATATAAAGTCCGCCTGCAAATTAGTTAAAACTCTACAAAAGTGACAAACTTATTTAATTATATCCTCCTCTTCAAATTTATAATCAAATTAATTCTGTCATAAGATATTCAAGATTCAGTGAACTGTCATTTAAATTTCATTTGAAATGAAGGGTAAATATATCCTATTTACCTCATCTTTAATGATTTTCATGAAAGGAAATATGACTCTCACATTAGTTGCTGTTCTTAAAAGCTGGTAGCATTGATCTACAAAAACTTGTTTTGAAGGATTAGACTTAAGCTGAAGTTTACTCCATATGAAAATCAACTCCCTGTAAAGGAGAAAACAAGAGAAATATCAAAAATACAGTTGATTAAAATACAGACATTAGTTCTCTTTCACTGAGTCTATAGTGCCCTGAGATGTATACAAAGTGGGTATAAATGGATATTATGTTAAGCCCCAAACTACTACTACTTGTATGAAACTAATAAAAATTTAGAGGTGGGGTGGTGTAAGGGGAGAACAGAAACTGTGATTTTGCAGTGGTAAGGAATGAATTTCAATCGTATGCTGACAAACCTAAGGTATCTCTAGTACTTGATTAAAACAAATTCTAATTCCAATGTACCAATATTATGATACTTAAAAAGAATAAACTGTGGCCATTAATTAATACCCTGTTGCAAATTTAGAAATCAGTGCTATAAGACTATCTGCAAATACATGGTTCACATTTTTCATTTTCAACCTATTAAGATATCAAAAATACTACACATTAAAAGTATATTATACTACTAATTCTAAAATGATCTATCTGCTCTTCCATTAACACACAGTACCTTCAATATAGACAAACTAGGGACCATTTAAAGTATTTCACAGGTAGTCTTTTGTAACATATGGCCAAGGTTATTAGATGAAGTAGTGGGTTTTGAGGCAAAGGAAATCATAAGATATGCCAGTAATTGATATATTTGGGTATCACATTTTAACAAATTAGAATTCTTTAAAATATATCATTAAAGTTACATAGAGCATCATAATCTAAGAAGTATTAAAATAACTGATGAAAATATGTGTTTTTTAAGTACGTACTTTGATCCCAGCATATACAACTATTAAATCTAATGGCAGCTTGAAGGTGTGCATAGTCTACTTATAGAGACCATACAGAAAACACAAAACAGAAAATGATGGCAAGGAACATTAGCAGTAAAACTAAAATTCCACCTCTATTTCATACTAACTGTGTGGGTATTCATAAGTTTTAGTCCACCACTCACATTTTTTTTTTTTTTTTTGCACATGTAGTCCTTTGAAAGCTCACTAAGTTTCATACCTTGCTCCCAAATCTCTGGTTCTGACTTTTTACCATTTTTTATGTCTCAGTATATTTCAATTAAGATTGCTCTCTATCGCCTTAACCCTGTCAGAACAAACAATATCCCTGTAAAAGATCTTTTCCTAGATCAGTCAGTAACACTAAACATTCCTCTAATCTACTTGTTCTAACCTGTTTATTTTTCACAGTCTTTACATTTCGATTACATTTTTTTTTCTCAAAGCCATACCATTCTTTCTTAATGCTACTACCTTAGGCCCTTTAATTGTACACATATACAGGGCTGCTAAACTGATCTGTCTACACCTTCCAGAGTATTTTATTTAGTGCTTATTCTATACACTGGTTAATGTCAAGTGCAATGGAAACATTGGTTTTATAATCAGAAGCATCAGGATTTGAATCCTGGGCACTCTTCTAGATTGGTCTCTTCACAGTTACTTTGCTTCACTTATTCTCACTTTTGTTTATATTGAATACTCTACTTGGAAAGTATTTATTTCTAAAATGAGCTTATCTTTCAACATCCATATCAAATGCCTCTTCATCCTAAACTAAAGTGATAATTCAGAACATATTATATCCCTTTTACTATTTCATGCTTTTCATGTACTTCCTTGCTTATATTCTATAGGTCCTATTTCTGCAACTACTTCATTATAAATCTTCTCAGTGATACAATGTATTTTAAAGTATTGGCAAAAATGTGAGTTTGAAAATAGATCTAAATACCAATATACGCTACTTGGCATGGTATTACCCACTTTACACTGAGCCACCTTTTTCTGGCAATAACCCTAATATACAAGATTGGAACCCCAGTGGCCATGTCTCCTATGTGTCCTTCCTCAACCTCCTTAAGATATTAATTCAAGAATAGAAAACTGAATTTTCAACTCTGGAATGTTCTCAATTCTAAACTTTTGGTCTGCAATAAGAGAGACTGGAACCAAATGGCACAAAAGAGAAACAATTTTTTTTAAAAAACCTAGCAATCTCAGTGTTCCTGGTAGCACTTCCCTTTTGAGGACCAACTATATCCCTGTTCTTTTTGTGGCTCATGTCATACCCCAGTATCTTTCCAATAAATACAGGCATACCTCATTTTTTTGCACTTTGTTTCACTGCAATTGACAGATGTTACGCTTTTCACCAATTGAAGACCCTCCACAAATAAAAGATTGTGACTTACTTTATTGCAGGGGTCCTCAAACTACGGCCCGCGGGCCACATGCAAATACAAATATTGTATTTGTTCCCATTTTGTTTTTTTACTTTAAAATAAGATATGTGCAGTGTGCATAGGAATTTGTTCATAGTTTTTTTTTAAAACTATAGTCCGGCCCTCCAACGGTCTGAGGGACAGTGAACTGGCCCCGTTTAAAAAGTTTGAGGACCCCTGCTTTATTGCAGTGCTCACTGTATTGTGATGGCTAGAATCGAACCTGCAGTATCTCCGAGGTATCCTATACCAGGGATGGGCAACACCTGGCACGTGTGCCAAACATGGCACACCAGTAACTTTTGCTGGCACGCGAAACCCTCTCTTATAATCTTCCATTTACAATTTTTTCTTAATATCGACTTTTTTATTTTTCAGGTAAATTCAGTGTAGGTGCATCTTAGATAAATAAATAATTTTACATAAGTTATCTTAAAGACCATCATAGGCATGGATTGATGAGAGAGGGGAAGAGCGATTTCTATGCCTCTGCCTTAACTCTCCCAGCCTTCCTAGATCCGACCAGTGTTTTGGTTTCATCCACATACGCTTGTGAATCTTTTTTCATCATATACTGTGTTTTTGTCACTCGAATGAATTTTATTATTTCTTCAAGGTTCTTCACATACGTACACCTTAAGAGATATCAAGTAGTCGTAACATGTTCTCAAAAAATTAGGGTTGGCACGCAGAAAAATTGAGTCAGAGATTTTGCTGATTTTGGCACGCACTCACAAAAAGGTTGCCCACCCATGGCCTATACTATATTTTTCCTAAACTAGTTAGGATGCTATCATTTGCAGATTGACTAGTTTAATTCCAACCTCACTTTGTTACTAGCTGTGCGAGTTTCATCTCTTTAATCCACTTTATGTATAAGTTTTCTTATACAGTGGGGCCTTGACTTACGAGTTTAATTCATTCCGTGACGGAGCTCGTTACTCAAATTACTCGTATGTCAAATCAATTTTCACCATTACAATGAATTGAATGCTGGGTTGATGTTGTGGCGTTCACTGTGACATTCACTGCACCAACTAGCGGTGGGATATCTGAAGCTGGCTCATAACCCGAATTTTAGCTCGCAACTCAAAGCAAAAAATCGGCCGAGAGACGGCTCGTATCTCGAAAAACTCGTTAGTCGGGACACTCGTAAGTCAAGGTCCCACTGTACATAAAAAGAATTAAGAGATATTAAGTGAAAACACCTCGGTAATATGTCTGGTATATACTGATGTTTAATAAATCACTAGTTTCCTGTATTCTTTCCTTGTCTTTATAATCTTAATATACCAAGCAATGAAATTTGTTCACTAAATATTTGTTAATGATCTGAAAAAAATTGTATTCCTAAATGTTAAACACATTTAGAATAAGCTTATTGAGGGAATATATTAAAGGAAAATGTAGACATGGAATGAGATAAAAGATTATGGTGGACATTCCGAGTAAGGGGCATATTATGAACAGAGGAATATGGATGGAAGGAAGTGTTTAAAAAAAATGTGGCGTTTCTCTGCAACAGATTTAAAGACAAAAAATGGGATTTGGAAATTTTGGGAAAGTATTTCATTCAATATTATACAAATGAATGTTTAACATTATAGAAATATATATATTCTCCAACTCATTCCAAAAAATAATAT